TTGAGGGTGCACTCAATCCCCTCATCCAGATCATTGATAAAGATATTAAACAAGACTGTCTCCAGTACTGAGCCCTGGGGAACACCACTTGTCACTGGCCACCAACTGGATTTAACTCTGTTCACCTCTACTCTCTGGGCTCGGCCTTCCAGCCGTTTTTTTACCCAGCGAAGAGTGCACCTGTCCAAGCCATGAGCCACCAGCTTCTCCAGGAGAATGCTGTGGGAGACCATGTCAAAGGCTTTGCTGAAGTCCAGGTAGATAACGTCCACAGCCTTTCGCTCATCCACTAAGGGTCACCTGGTCAGATAAGGCAATTTTTAAGGCCACATCTCCTTCGAGAGTGACACATGGCAAAAGACTGGAGATATTTAACTGGCACCTGCCCAGGAGGGCAAAAAAATGTTCAGCGTGGGGGAGAATCTCCTGCCTGGACCATGCTGCAGAAGTTGTTTTGTCCCGGCAAAGGAGTCGCTTGCAGGGGACGGGCGCAGATTTGGAAAGGGGAAGAACAAAGAGACGATTTTACAAAGATGCCCATGATCGGAAATATTTTAATACCACTGAGTCACAATTTTTAGTACAGACAATCAGCAAAAAAATGCATTTAAAAATCCCAGCTGGTCCCATTCCCACAGCCACGCATCCCATAGAAAAGTTAATGCAATTTTATATTAAAAGAATAAAAAAATTCTTCTACACAATGCTGAGCTCTTGATATAAAAATGCCTTTTTGATTGATTTTTTTTTTTTTTTTTAAAGCAGCCAGCGTTTTTTGATTGTTCAAGGAATTTACATCACGTAGAAACATAAGAGTGGACCCCCGTAAGTTGGGTTCAGCCAACCAAGCACCTGACGGGTGAAGACAGACTATAAGCACTGCTCTCCCCTGATGGGTGAAGACATTTTTACAGGGGGTCTGCAATTTAAAAGAGAAAGAGGGCTGTTAGTCCCGCAAGAGAGAGAAAGAGAGAAATCACCACCCCCCCCAAGGCAAAAATAGCATGGCTTCCCCTCCAGCACAGACCAGGACCCAAAGCAGCACATGGGCATAAAAAATAGTGGAGGAAAGCTAAATAAAACACAGGGAAATAAAATAAAATAGAGCAAAATAAAATAAAATGGAGTAAAATAAAATTTAAAAAAATCAGCTCCTTCAGCTAATTGGGATTAAAAAAATTAAAATAATACTAAAAAATATATAATCAAGCTCTTTGGTTGATTTCTACTATTTTTTCCTGCAGGTTAGCTGGCATAGCACATGCAATACGGATGGACGGATGGAGGTACGGGGGGGGTTTGGGGGATTTACAGATGAAATTGGAGCTACGGCATTTGCAGAGCAGTTAGTAGCGGTCCAGACGAGGTACAAGGAGGTGGAGGCAATTAGCATGTCGGGTCTGAAGACTTCACCGCCTGCTCCAGGGGATCCTGTCAGGGGAAGAGGGATTTGGACACAGCGGGGAGGCATCAAAATTCACGGGTCTGTCCATCTGCTACCCAAAATAGCTGCGCTGGGCACCAAAAATAAAAACAAACCACTGCTTTGTGTTCAAAGCCCCCTTTTTGCCTGCTTTAATTTGCACAACGCCATTTGTTCTTCTGCTTAACAAGGCCACATATTTGTGCCTGGTGAGAAATAAGCCCAGGGCTGATTTTAGCTGGCAAAGCTCAGCTGGAGCACCAGCAACTGGGCTCGAATTAAGAATTAACACTAATTAAAAAAATGTTGCTTTTGGGTAGCAATGAGGCGGGGGTACACTTGCACCCTGAAAGCATCCCTCTGCCCCCGAAAGCGGGACACAGGGATGCTCGAGCCCAGGGTTGGGCTGGGTCTGACGGGGGTGGGCAGCAGCTTTATCCCGGGAGAACCAAGCGCCGGCTTCGCTCCCCGCTTGCTCCCGAAAACAGGAGGCAGAGTGGGGGGGTCACAGCACAAAGCGCC